CTAAAGCTATACTGCTTATCAACGTTTACATCTATGTGCTCATCTCTCTACAATTTAAAGTTTTCAAATTTTATTTTGAGTGGTGATTGGGGTCTCTTATCAGCGAAAATTTGAAAATTTTGTATTTTTTGGTGAAATATATATATATAGAATTAGGATTCTTATAGAATATTTTAACATTGTTAAATAGAACATTTTATTTTAATAAATAAATTTAAACAAACTTTATATATAATGTTCTTCAAAAACTTCCATTTTTAAAATCTTAAGATTCTTGCAAATAATTGCTGTATTTCTCACGAGATTTTAAAATAAAAGAAAGATCTGAAGCACAGTGATTAACGGCTATTGATGATGCGGCAAGAAATCTCACGCCTTTACTCGAAGAACTAATCTTTTCGGGTGACATGTTGATCCTGAGGTTGCGCGGGTCACCGTGAACGATCACTTGACAATTGCATCGTCTTTGGCTCAGATCGCGCACGAAACAGCGGATTGAAGACTTTCTTGCATCATCATCACCCTCGCCTCGCGTTCTTAAGGCATAATGCAATAGCCTTTTATTGCGGTAATACGAACATCAACCGGTAACGATCGTTGATAAAGAAATGTGTGAACGCAAGTACTGAGTCTGGAAGCATTGCTGTCTGTCATCGTTAAATGAATAAAATTTATTTTTTACTAATCAGCATGAAAAAGATTGAAAATCTCAAATTATATATTTTTCTAAAAAGAAATAAATTTAAATTTATATTTCTCCTAAAAATAAATGTCTCGTCACATATAAGCTCTTTGCGATTTGTGACAATGTAATTTTGGATACTTAGCTTCCCCTTCGGGATAAACCCTCCAGGTACTGAGCCTTCCCATCAACGTCAAGGTGTACCCGTTGGGAAGGTTATTTTATATATTATAATTTTGTAATATAATATATATAATTTGTAATATATTTTATAATTGAAAGATTGACGAAGAAACTATATTTATAAATTAATTTAATTTTTTTTATCATTTTACGCAAAATTTTCATATTTTGAAAAGACATTTTTTAAATTTGGTTTTTTTTAACTGCAGTTTATTAAATAATATATAACATAAGGAAATAAACAGTGCGCGCTTTGTAATACTCCAGTATATTAAAAATATATAATTTTGTATTTGAAAAACAAAAGTATTTTTAGACACTATTTGAGATTATAACTCCTCATTTTCTTATTAAAATCTAAAATGCAAAAGAAACTTAGTTTTTTAAAAGATCTTAGAATGCAGGAAAAATGAATTTTTTTTTGAAGATCTGTGAAGCTTAAAAAACTCATTACGTTGACGGAATAATTTATAACTGAGATATTAATTTTTTTAATTTGCAAATATATATATATATATATTTATAATATACTTTAGAATGTTATAAAATAAACACTAAAAAATTTATTAAATCAGAAAATTAAAAGTACTCTACTAAAGCTTTGCGATGCAAATATATATATATATATATTTATAACATACGTTAGAATGTTATAAAATAAACACTAAAAAATTTATTAAATCAGAAAATTAAAAGTACTCTACTAAAGCTTTGCGAATATTTTAGCATAGCATTTCAAGACGGAAAGATCAAAGAACTATAAATGTCTCAATGGAATCGTTAATTTCATGACTTTTTATAGGCCTTCAACACATTGCTACTGTCTACAGCGGTATCGACAACGGGGTCTGAGCTTCCCTCAACGAAGGACCTTGTATTATGGTAAACGAGACATCGGTGGTAGACTGCCAGTCGGGAATGCCCCTACTCTATGGACACCATCTACTTTCTCTCTTTTTCTCTCTTTCTCTCTCTCTCTGCCTTCTTTTCTTCCTGTACTTTGCGCTCTTCTTCGTAACCGCTGTTTGCAGCAGCTTTGTCGCGTTCATTTCCTCTCTACCGTCGCGGAACCCCTAATGAAAGCCCTTCCTCCAACCATCAGATTAACACCCACGTGACACCCAAGGGACACGGCGCGACATAATAAGAACAAGGATAAAAAAATACTTTAAGTTTAATTTTTTCTCTCTCTTGTAGTTTTCGCATAACGGTAACTATTTACAATTATTTTACAATTTTTGTCCGACAATCTAATTTTTAATTATTCTAAAATAATTTTAGATGCAAAATGTTTCTCTTAAACATATTAATTAATTATAAATAATTCCGATTTACGTAAGTTCACAAAATTATTCAAGATATAATATTAACATAAGATAAGAAAAGTTTCAGAATCCTGAAAATTTAGCGAAGATATTAAAAAGAAAAAGAATTGAAATACGCATATTATTTTGAGAAATATATAAGGTCCATATAAGGGAGATGATAGATATAATTCGTAAGACGTCCGGAGTGCGGTTAACGCTATTAATCCGCTCAACGTTAATTCCGCGCGGCATGACAACTTGTGACGCGTAGCACGCTCGTTATGGCGGGCTGACTATCTCTTATAGGGACACATGATGATAATTCAATTACGGTCGGGTACACACGTTGAATAGCTCGTGCGCATGAATATTGGTTTCACATGCGGAGCGCGGGGACGGGGGACGACACATGCTATATTTACTTTAATGGATAACGAATGCGTATGACGTAAAAGAACGCCCCGTGAGCGACGTTTAAGGCAATCTGCTAAACAGATTGGTACAACAGATGCTTGTAGATAAGCCAAGCGCATGTGTCCGCGCACATCATCGACTGTTCCACTGAAATTCTTCTCAAAAATTCTTTCGGCAATCGCATATATCGAAATACATTGATTCATTTAATAAAATCTTTTATAAAGCGAAAGGAAGATAAACATTTTTTATTCTGAGATGCAAGAATTTAATAAGAATAGAATTTTATAAATTAAGATTCCATTGTAATTTAATTTCCATTATAATTATAAAGGATTATGAATCCAAGATGCCAAACAAGCTTTTTTTTCTGTTATTTTATCATCATTAAAATAATAAGAGATATAAAAGATACTGCTTAAATTTATCAACTAAAATATAAAATAAAATTTTTTATTAATTTATATTTTTGCAAAAAAAAGATGACAAAATTTAATAAATACTAATCTTATTATTAGCAGTTTTGCTATACAAAATTAATTATGGTGATACCTTTTAAATAATTTCGAAAATGTGGAAGATTTATTGTTTGGAATATAAATATACATATGAAATATTTTGTACTACATTTAATTAAAAAAGGTAATAACCAATATTATTTTAAATATCATTTTCTGAGCGTTGTATGGGCGGATTGCATTCATTAAAATACAAACGTTTCTGCATATTAACGAGCAAATATCATATCAAGTTACCTATTTTGTCTGATAATATCATTACAAATTAATTTGCATGTTATGTCGCAGACATGTACCGCATAAAAAATACATCCGCATCATTAATACCATAAACTATAAAATTTTAACGCACTTTCATGAATAGCTCCAAGTACAATAAAAAATAATGATTTATTATAATGATTTAAATAATTACTTGGAGTTAATTAATTAAAGTTTGTCAGGTTTTTAGCATTCCAAACAAATGTTTCAAATTCTGTTTTCAACACAGTCATTTTTTAGAAACGTTTTATTCGAAAGGTTCCTAAAATTCTAGAGATAAATCCCCGTACATGTTCACACAAGATTGTATTTTACATACCAAAATAAATAACAAAGATTTTCGTGTGCATACTCGGCGCCCGCTTGTTATTTATTTTATAATATATACTTCAACCGAGAGAGAGCGAAATGCTGTTTTTGCAACATCAGAATATGAAATTATTTTTACACCAGTAATCGCGCCGGGCTTGAATTTTGATAGTAATGATATTTAATCTTATTTATTTATTTACATATATAACTACCTATTTTCAAAACGGAACATGTTATTTAAAAATATAGAAGTTTATTATTGCCGTTTTTCGATGTTGATTAATTATCTCTATAAATGTTTTGCATCAATGAGGATCTGTCATTCAGCGAAGATCGTATAATTTGACAGCTTGAATATTGAAAGAGTTAATATGGTATGTGAATGATTTTATTCGCTTGATAAAAGTTAAATATTATTGCTTTTGGAGAAAATTGTAATACACCTCTTTCGAGTTTGCAGTAATATGTTGAAAAGCTGTCATCTCAGAAATTACTTATTTGACAGCTGTTTTAATGTCACGCGCGCACGGCGTGCTGCTTTCGTCATTGATACAATATTTAACATAAAAATTACTCAAACAAAAATTAGAAATATTAAAAAAAAGCATTTAAAAAAATTGTATAAATTGATTAATTATACAAAATATTTCTCTTAACATCAATAAGTAGATTATTTGGAATATATTAAGGAAGAGAGTAAATATTGTTGGTCTAAATAAAAATTATATATTAGATTAAAATAAAATTTAAGTTGTTTGTTAAATAATATGTAAAAAATTGTTCTTTTTATAGTGTATTGATTATAAACGACATATTTCTCATTCAATTTTTTACTATTTCTGATACACCACATATGGATAACTCGGAATTTCAACTTTTCATCTTCTGATCTAGCTTTTAACGTATGTATATCTGCTAAAGATGAGGTAGATATTGCGGTCTTTACTTGAAAGGTATATTTCAAGAAACACTCTTGTGTATTATCCTCCTGGTTAGAACACACCAACAGTCGGTATGCGAAAAACTCCTTTCGTAATGTAAGGTATTTCCTCAAGGTATAATAAATGTCAAATAGCAATTTCGTGTCTTTATAATAAAAAATGTATGCAAAATTTTTTTAGAAATTGAGAGTTTGAAAAGCTGCACACAAGCTAGGTAAGAATTTAAAGATTTAAAAAATTTAAAGAGTCTAAAAATAAATTCTTAATCTTATGCTTTTTATTCTTATTCCTTGTAGGATAAAATTCAAAGATTGAACTATATGTGTACGTATGCATGCGTAAAATAATAAATAAAAAGGATCGGGGACATACAAAACCACAGTTCCATGTATATCGTTATATATTTACAATTTGACAACAAAAACGTTAAACGTAACAGGTAGCCTCGCCCTCGGCCGGAAAGTATATTCGAGGTATCGTTCTAGGAGAGCGCGAGGCCAGCTAAAGGTCTCACATAAATATAATAATGTCCGTCATAATAATTTATTACAATTGTGTAATATGTGTGTATAATATATATATATATATTTATAATATGTTATTTAAATTTCTTAAACATCTTTTCTTAATTCTCTCCGGCATATTTTTCTTCTAGTTTTCTCTCTCACGTTTTCCTCCCCTCCTTCTTTTTCTCTTCGCTCACTTTTTATTACTATTACCAACTTTGTCTCTTAATCTTTAATTATATTCGGATTGTCCCGTACTTGATGATGATATTATACAACGCCCACGATATTTAGTTTACGCTTGCAAATCCTGCTAAAATTTACGTTTACGGCGAGACGACGTCGTTTTTCGTCGTGTTTACCTTTTGTTACCCAATTTCCAAATTTCATATCTTGGACGCATCTGGATCGGTTCGCCGTATTATGTCTGTGCATATATTTTTACATCCTTTTCTTATCCTCATTTTATAAGCAGAAGTTTCTGCTGCCAATTTGAGATTCTTTTAGCTCTGCGAGCTATGGTTTATTTAATTACAAAAGTACAAGATCCCTCTAGGACGGTAAGAATCCTTTAATTACGAGGATCCAAGGATTCAAGGATTTCAGGAATTAACTTAAGCCACTTTATGGCCGCGATCGCCGTTTTGCGCAGAAAGCAAGCAAGATGCGCCCCTTGAGATGTTGCGTTTAGCAAAGATGCATAAGTATAAAAACTTTGACCTTTTTCTCTATCGATCTATCGATAAGTCGTTTCTTGCAAAAAGGATTTTGATAATACTCGGCTTATCGTGATCCTTTTTATCTACAAATACTTATTAATTCCGTGTAAAAAAATTTGTGAAGTAATAAAAAAAAGATCTCATCCAGTTGTGGTACGTAAATTTTTTGAACGCATTTTTTGCATTGACGCGCGTAATTATATAATATGTTTAAATAAATACGTTAATTTGTTTTGCGAAATTATTTAGGGCGAGAAGAACTGCAGCTCGTGAGCTCTCCTTATTTAACTTCGGTAGTCTTGTGGCAGTGTATTACGCTTAACAGATTTATATTAGTCTTTATTTTACACCTATATATATGTATATATTTATACAAAAAGAAAAGAGAGACAATCACACATCGTGTGTCCGATGGAATTCGAACTTTGTAGGATCGATACCACAATATATCGATTCAAATACATCGGATCGCTTCGTGGTGTTCGTTCTGTACGAAGAATAACAGAGAACGGACCTTTGTCGCGAATAGTATACCTGAATGTAAAACACACACTATTATAATAAAAATGTAACCGGCTTGTAAAATTTTAAGAATTTAAAAGCGGAGTCCAGATTTAGTACACATATTTAGTATAAAAAGATATGTTGAAACCAAAATAAAGAAATTAAAGGTATATTTATGACGATGACTTAAAACTGTATTCGGTTTCTTATATGTATATATATATATATATAAAACACATATGCGTAGATACGCGTACATGGAGAGGGTACGAAGATCATTCTACGTGCGTATCGTGTATCATAATTCATATGTGCAATACATACGTTCGCGATGGGGCTACTTGCGTGGCAAGTAATGTTGATTAGAGTAACGATAATGAGCGACGTGGCTTGTATCGACGGTTTTTTCTTTCTCACATTAATCAGTTAATCTCGATTCACGCACTATAGTTAAGAGCAACAGAGCTCTTCTGAATTACTTAAGTATGGATAAAGGATTTGAAAGAAGATTCTTATATAATCAAACTTTATATAAGTATAGAAAATATTCCACAAAGGATTAAGAATCTCTAAAGATTCGAAGTTTTGAAAGCTTCAAAAATTTAACAGTCCATTCTCGTCGATAAACAAGCTCGCTCATTACGTTTCAAAAAATATCTCTCTCTTACGTTCATTCTCCTGTATGACGTCACGAGTGGATATCAACACATCAACCGAAAGAAAACAGGATTAATAAACGATACGCGGATACAGGTCTTCTTACAAAGTAGCAAACTCTTTGGCGTCCTTATATGTATATATATAAATTCACGTTATGTACAAGGAACATCTAACATCGTAATATGGCTAATATGTCTTTTTTTACACGTGTCTTCATCGCCGTCGAGATTCACATATTGAGCCATCCACATCACTCTTCTCGTCTCCTTTAACGACTAGAGATTCTTCGTTATCGACTAATTAGCGAAATGCATCGCGTTTGATTCCTTCGCACAAAATTTGATTAAAGCCTCGATTTATCCAAGACGATCGTTCTGATTTGCCATTCTCCTTTCTTGATGTTCATCTCCGTAAATGTTTATCGATGTCTACCGATACTATCGCAGAGTTTCAAGCGCGGCGCTGTAAATATTCTTACAGTTCCTTTTATTTATCGTGATTCAATTAATGATTATTAAGATCGAAGATTTTTTTTTTTTGTTTAAAACTCTTTTAAATTTAAATTTTCGCAAACTGTATTCTCTTATTAATTACTTTGATTGTGTAAAATTATAATTTTAGTAAATTTGAATTTTAAGAATCTATCTTTGTTCTGTAGAAATGCATCCTCTAAGTTTTATACAGTAAGCCCACGTGTTACAGAGGCAATACATATTTTTATAACGCGGTAAAAAAAAAAAGAAAAAATAAATTGTGACAGGCCTCGTATAACATGGTAAATCGCCCCGATATAACGCGGTGGACAATGTACAAATTTTGTGAAAAATTTTGCCTCTTTCCTCCTAAATAAACGACATATTTTCAAACTTTGTACAACTCATGAGAGAGTGTCGTATAACACGGAATCGTATAACGCGAAACATATCCTCTGCGTTATACGGGGGTATGTTGTATACGTATTTATTTTCTAATCCAAGAAGAGAAATTTATAAGAATTGCAAGACAGATTTAAAATCTACGTATTTAATTTGTATCCTTTCGGCTCACACAGTATATGATCTCTGCATTTCTAAATTCGTAATAACGCATTTCGATCGGTATTCTCTCTCTCTCTCTCTCTCTCTCTCTCTTTTGTGTTCGGTAGACGCAATCTTGGCTCGACCACCCCTCAGCGGTGAGGAATCTCTTCCCCAGCACCCCCCTCCGTTCGTCCGCAGTTCACGTTCCCCGGAATATCCTGCGTCGACCCATCGAAGCCAGTTGACAGCTACTTTAGGGCCACCACGACGGGGTTCGCGGCGAAACTTGCCTACAGCAAGGTCGACGCCGTGAGGACATCTGGGACGACTGGCTTCGGAGGGGGGTCCAAGCATCACACTCGCATCTCGCTCATCGTCGCCTGGGACACGCGACTCGAGACCGTCGCGCTTTGCAGAAGAGGCTGATTCTCTGGCGGACTCTTCGCCCTGGGTGGCGGTGGAGCTCGCGGAACCGTCAGATGTATAGATCCGTTCGGAGGACCCTGAAAAAAGAAATGTATGAAAGAATCAACTTTGTTTTTTAACCAGATTCTTTAATAAAACCAGAAAGATAGGTATGCGAAATTAAAAACATCCTTGACTTGTATAAAATATTTACAACCGACAGAGTTATTTTCAGATGAAAAGAAAGTTTTAAATTTGATATCCTTTACACAGAATTTCAATTCGCATAATTCTATTAAAGAAAGTTTCCGCGAGAGATCTAAAGCGGTCAGATACAATATATGCAGGGCACAGCAGAGCGGCGGTCCATATTTTACGATCATAATTCCAATTACGTTATGCCTTACTCAGGTATTAAATCTCTGAGCTGGGAAAGTTTGAAAGACTTTGCAACGAACTTTATTAGAGAAACAATATTACGTGTACGTTGAAAAGTTATTACGTGACTAGACTTATTGTTTTATCACACATATTGCACACATTTGTCATGCGTATTAATCTCTATGAAACATAGATAAAAGAAAAGAAAGTGATTTAAAAAAATTGATACAATTTTTCAAAAATTTAATCACACTGTTCTATTATCTATTTGTGATCTTTAATATAACAAAGAAATATTGAAATAATTATTACAAAAATTATATATATATATATATACATATATATTTTATTGCGGGACAAAAAATAGATTTGAAATAACTTACTTGAGTTTGCGTGTTCAAGTCTTGAATAACTGATGCTCGGGGAAGGGTAGCATGTTGCTGTTGATGTTTCTGGTAATGATGTTGATGAGGCAGTGTATGAGTTCCTTGGCCTTGGAAAGGAGCGCCGGGATCGTTAGAAGGCCCTTTCATTACGTTTCTGCAACAATAGAAATACATATCCATAGAATCTGCGGCGTATAAAGATAAACATAACTATATAGCGTAATGAAATAATAATAGAATGTAATTTAGCTACACAAAAAATAAACAAAAATTTTATAAAATAGCTATTAAAAAGATTTATTTTTAATGAACAAATTTTTATCATAAATTAATTTATCGTTTCAAAATTTCTCTGAATTTTACTGATAATTAATGTGTATAAATATATATATAATTAGTGCTATCTTAAATAGCAAATAAATAAGAATTATGTTTCCATACCTTCTTAACATTTCATTTTCAACGTCAACAATCACTTGGCCACTACCGGCGTAATGGGAATGCGGGGGCGGCGGTTGTTTCAGTTCGGTGAAACCACGAGGACCGCATTGTTGATTCAACATTTGTTGCTGCTGAAGGCTCTTCACCTCGAGCCGCGTTTTGTCTCTCTGATAATAGACACCCGCGAATATCAGGACGTTCAAGATCAGCAGGCTGCAGCCGATTGCAATTGTCACGCTCAAAGCCGTCGAATACGCTGCGTAACTACACATGTAAGGAATTTTTTCATTAATATCTATTGCTACATAAAATTACATGTGTATATCTCATTTCTTTTTAAGAATGTAAAATTTGAAATATAATAGAAACTACATTTTTGTTAAAGTGACATTTGTAACAAAAAAAAAAGTCTTTTCTAAAAAAGATATTGATTAGCAACACACGACAGCAATTTTTACGATGGTAAAATTTCTCCAATCAAAACTTGGACCGCATCTCTCGTGCCAATTTTTCACGAATAAAATTCTACTAAATTAATACAGATTTCTGAATAGACTTGTACAGCCGAAACTATTATATAAACTTGGAGGAAACTTGATATTATCTCAAAGCAGAATAATTACCCAGCTGCGTCTAGACTGGCTAAGGTGTCAGTGCTGGCGTTATGGACGTTCTGAAGATTGGTGCCCGGGATAAGGCTGACGCACGTAGTGATGCTGTAATCCGTCGTGGTCGGCGGATCCGTGCTAAGGTTCTTCCTCTTGAATTCCTCGCTGATCCTGCTGAGAGGATCCGGTCTCACGGAACCGTCGTACAGACTGGGGTCGCTATGGCCACGGAACAAGTTATGTCTGGAATCGACATCCTCCATTCCGGCACGATGAAGCTCCGGGACGAGGCGCAGCCAGACCGACAGCTGATGCGCTCTGTAGTGATTTTTCATCTTCGGTTTCATTCCTGCAACAACCATCATCCCATGTAAGAAAAAAAATTATCATTTTTATTTGAATAGACAATTTTTTGACTAGAAAATAGATAGATAGAAAGAGAGAGAGAGAGAGAGAGAGAGAGAGAGAGAGAGACAGCCCAATTTCAAAATTCTTATATCTAATATATCATTGCTGTAATTGCTGTAATTTATTAAATATTTTCCGATAAAAGATATCGGAATTGCGTTGTGTCTTTAAAATTGAGCACACACATATTTTATATTTTAAAAATTTATAAATATGCGTTTTGGTTACTTGGATAACATTCGAATAACATATAGAAAATACGCAGAAAAATATTAAAATATCTTTTAATTATATTACATCAAATTACATAATTTTTGTAAGCTGATATTACAATTATGTGAAAATGAACAATTAAATTTTGAATAGAGGCATTTCATGTCATAAACGTACTGTGTTAAAGTAATAATCAGGTTATGTGTTTCAACAAAATTTTACTCACTGAATAAAGTCTCGCGAATGTTTACGTGATAACATCTTTCATTATTGTAATGATCATTGATAATTTACTAATAATATTACATGCGACTCATGCCATGTAAGTATAAAAAGCTTTTTTATACATGTTTAGTGAAAGAGAGTAAAAGAGAAAGAAAGATTCATTTTTTATGAGATTTAAGAAATAATATAATATTGACTCACGTTTCATTTTCTAGATCAAAGAGAATAATTTTTTAGATATATTAATTTTTTAGATATATACTAATGCAATAAGTGTAAAAACGTGTTTTGTATTATAGATATACATGAATATCTTAATACATAAAATATGATGTTTATTACCTTTAAGCAACTTTATATTCAACGATACTGCTTGCTATTTCTAAAATAATACTAAAACATTATTTTAAAATGTTAATAAACTTGAAAATTTTTCGGATTAGATAATATTTATCGCATTTTGATCACGACTTTTGTAGTATAAATTGAAGCATCATGAAGACATGTTACGTAAAATTTAAATTTTGGATACTTTTTTTTTGGATGCTTACAAGTTTGCAGCAATGAAGATATTACATGTAATTTTGTTAATTGCTGTTGCAATTATCATGATCTCTGATAGCATGGCTGAAGAAACTTCTAGTAAAGAGGCTTCTAGCAAAACAAATCCGCTCGGATTTAGGCCCTCAACTCTACGTAGATTGAAGAATCTTTTGCAGCACATCGTAGATGAGGTATGAAAATTTATTTATATATGTGTAGGATTCTTGTATCATTTAATATTCTTACATTTCAAAAATTGTAGTCGATGTTTGATAGATTTTAATATAAATTTTTTGCGCATTGGAATAATTATTCGAGAGCAAATAATTATATAACTTGTAATGTATTTATAAAATTTGTACATACAATATATATGTCTCTCCACATAGTAATTCATAAAAAATATGTGAAGTGGAATTAAAAGAAAATTATTTATTTGAAGAGAGAAAAATCTTGGGAAAGAATGAGAGAGTGTTTTATACACAAATGTAACATGTGTAATATAATATCTTTTTTTACCTCGTAAGATATAAAATTATACACAAGCTATATCATAAAGCTGGAAACTAAGAATTAATTACTTTGTTGCATTTTAGATACTTATAGCTTGGTTAAATATAGTCTTCAATGTTGGTTGGGAAGAGACATATGACTATCTATTTGGAAATTACGGAATGCAGCCAATCCCATATTTCCCAATACCATAATATAATATGATACAATATAATTATAAATATCCCATATTATGATACAAGATAATCAGCAGATTTTCCAACTAATGCAAGTATATTCTGTATAATTTAATATATCATTTATATATATATATATATATGCGTGTAATATCATGAAGAATTACACAAACAATATCTTTGCTCTGTCGGAATTATGTAAAATAATATATATAATTAATAATTATCATTTTATAATCGTGAAACGAAATATCTTGTACTAATAAATATCAGTGCTATTCAAGCTTGTTATATATTGTAGTTCATATTAATGTTTTATTAATCCCTAAATTGCAAATTTTGATACATTTTGTTTTACTATAATGTAGATCATTATATATATATTGCATATAGTTTTTCTAAATCTCATAACAACATTTTATACAAACTGATAATTATTCATATCTATAATGAAGAGATTTGAAATTCGATATATTGTATATAATTATTCATATCTATAATGAAGAGATTTTAAATTCGACATAATTATCATAATTTTTATTGAAAAAAGTAGTAATGCGATAAATAACAGCTTTTTTTACAACTGTGATTGATATATTTTATATTATTATAAAGCTCATAAAATTTAAATTTTGCGTATTATGTCTTCATGTGATATTTCAATTTATATTACAAAAATCATGATCAAAATATCATAAATATATAATCGGAAAAATTTTAAAGTTTATTACGATTTTATA